GGGCACACGGGCCGGGGGCTGCTCTTGTGCCCCTCGCCCAGGGCAGGTGGAGGGTCCAGGGCTCCTCACAGTGGCCCAGGCTTCCAAGGCGGCTCTTCCCACTGCCCGCTTCTGGCCTGAGCAGGGGGCAGGGCTTTGGGGACGAGGAGGAGCAGGGGCGGGGCCACAGAGGGGGCGGGGCTTCTGTATGTGTCCCGCTTTTGCCTTTTGAAAAGGTGATCACCCTAGGTGCAGGCTGCGGGCGGGGACCGTTCTGCCCCCCTGCTGTGGGTGCTTTTCCGTGGTTTGCTGCGCTGGTGCAGAGAGCGGCTCCAGGGGCGGGAGGCAGGTGACTGGAGGGCGGGCGGGGGGGAGAAACCTTCTGACCAGGACTCTCCTTCCCTTGCAGGTGCTGACGGACACTCCCGGCATGTGGAGTGCGAACGCAGGTGAGATCCTGGCTCAGCACAGGCTGGCCTGACGGGGGAGCCGGGACGGGCTGTTTCCGGCTGCTTTGCTTAAAGCTGGGGAACTCGAGGGCCGTTTCCCGGGCCGAAGGCTAAGGCCAGTTCCTCTGTTCTACAGGGACACAGACGGGTTTCAGGACTCTCTGTGTGGGGCCATGGCTAAAGCGGGGATCGGCTGGGAGCCAGACAGCGTGGCTGTCTCTGGGAGATTTGCCTGTGTAAGGACTGCAGCACCAACCCCTCCAGTAGCGTGACGTGTGTACATATACGTGTGTAGTATTCGTGGCGCGGTTTGAAAGTTACTCCACATGCTGGCCCCATTTTGCCTCCTCGCCTCCCCCAGCCTAGGGTTACCATACGTCCGGATTTTCCCGGACATGTCCGGCTTTTTGGCCCTCAAATCCCCGTCCGGGGGGAATTGCCAAAAAGCCGAACATGTCCAGGAAAATACCAGTCGCCTGCTTACCTTAGAGCGGCTCCGGCAGGCTGCGAGCTGCAGGCGGATTCCCCCGCGGCGGCGGCTGCTGCTGCTCCCCCCAGACACCTCAGCTCTGTGCAGCTGAAGAGCCGAGCTGCCCGGCAAACCGTGAAGCTGGTAGCGCTCGGGCAGCTGTTTCGTGTGGCTGGGAGGGAGGAGAGGGAATGCTGGGCGCTCAGGGGAGGGGGCGGAGTTGGGGCGGGGACTTTGGAGAAGGGGCGGAGTTGGGGCGGGCTGGGGGCGGGGAAGGGGCGGGGTCAGGGCCCAGTGGAGTGTCTTCTTTTTTAAAACCTTAAATATGGTAACCCTATTTTGACCCTCTCCTCTCCAGTGATTACAGACAGAGCTGACTGGACTCAATTGAGATCCTTGTTTCTGTTCAGCTGTTACCAGAGCTGAAATCACTGACAAGCAGGTCTAGGCACTAAGCGTTATATCTGGTGGGGGGCAGACAGTGTTGCAGTGAAAGACAATGCAGCAGCTGCACTAGCAGTGAGGTTCCGTACTACCCAGGAAATCACTAAGAGCTGGTCTAAGCAGTGAAACTTCAGAGCATGGCATCACAGCAGTGGCAGTGATAGTAGTGGAGCTGAGCAGCAGCAAAAGAGAGCCACTTGCAGAGGTGGTGGTAGCAGTGGAATCACTGCTTAATGAGCTTCCCCCGCTTTTTCCAGGGTAGCTGGGCGAAGCCACCTCTTCACTCGGGATTCACTGATCAAGGACAATCAGATGTGGGCAAGAAGCAGCGCAGGGAAAGGGGTGTGCCGCGTTGAAGGGACTTTCACAGTGCAAAGTAGAAAACAGAGGCAAAGTACACTGCCCAATGTACAGTAGGGTGGGTGTTTGCTTATGGTTACACATTGTTGAGTCATGGTTGTGGTGTTTACCCACATTAACGCTGGATTCCTTTTCCCTTGTATTAAACGTTTTCTTTTGTTATACATAAACTCAGTGCTCGCCAGTGGGAAGCATTGCCTCTTAGAGGTGCCCAGGGGTGGGTTTAGTTTTCCCAGATTGCTGGGTGGAGGCTCAAGCTAGTTCTGTTTAGTATTGTCAAGAGGAACCCCTAGATATTGTTGCTACCAACACCACCGACAGAAGGGTTACACACTCAAGTGACCATTTTGAACATACTATATAACAACTCCTACTGCAGGGAGCAAGGGGACAAAGCTGTTGGGGGAAAGGGACAAGTACATTTGAAGACATTCCCTTTGTTGAAAGAATCCTTCTTTAACTCAAGCTTTCTTCTGTGGCTAAACTTTCAGCACCAGGTGGGAAGTGACTGGTACAACTACATTCCTACATGCAACCTCTGCTCATTGTGCTGAAATGTTAGCCCTTAATGCCAGCCTTGGCAACAGGGAGGTCTTGGCAGAAATGCTTCCCAGTGACCCGTATGAAGGCAACAGGAACAATAGAACCCTTCCCTCTTCCTCCTTTTTTGTTTCACCTGCAAGCAACCAAGTCATTCACCAGACCTCACCGAGCTGCTCCCCTGACCTGCCCACAAACTTGCTCTGCAGGAACACAATAGGTCTGTACTGTTTAGATGCAGAGGAGCCTGGACTCCCGCAAGGACACCCCAAATCTTGTCCATCTGCACCAATTCCACTACATCTGGGCTCTCGGCAGCCACTGAGAAGGGGCAGGACCAATCCACTGGTGCTGCTCTGAACCAAACCTTCTTGTTAAACATTGGCCAAATCTTAGTGATGCCTATATATGTGAGGTCTTTGCATAATAGGCAACTGAGCTACTTCCGTGTGGTTTGTTTGTGCGGTGCTTGGCTTTGTAAGACATCTGTCTCTAGACTCTCCGTGCTATACAATAATTCACTGCAAACGAAGGTGTTACTCAGGCTGGACGCGTGCTTTGGAAGAAACACACTCTGGAAGAATGGTGAGTCAACACACATCTTTCCTCTTGTAAGAACAGGAGTAACACATCGCAATTTTAAAGTACAGATTTTGGATTTTCTTAGGGAAAGCTTCCCAGTTTCTACAGAACTTCTTGTCTGACTTGTATATTTCCTTATCTGAGGGGATTTCAAGTTTAAATCAATTATAAAATGACAAGGAATTTAAAAGAAAACAGACAGGTGCTGTGAATGAGAGACACAGAGAGAGACTCAGTGTTCAGGTTTTTTTTTTTTGCCACCACTGTAACAGTCTGCCTGATTGTAGGGATATTTAGAATCCCTCTCTTCTGTCTCATGTAAAGGGATCAAAAAAGGCTGGCTCCTGGGAGATTAGCTCATATTATAAATGAAAGCAAAGAGCCAAACTCTGCAGCCTTGACATGCTTCTAAACACTCACAGACTTCCAATGAGAATTTTAGTTGACACAGCTTGCAGTTACAGTGATTCAATTGAAGATTCCCCGAAACACGCCTAGCAGACTAGATATATTAAAATAAGGTTACAAAAGTTACCATTGGGCTCTAACGCAGCAGCCAACATGTCACATCAGAGACGTGCATTTGTTCAGCTCTACATAAAGACATGGTGAAGACTCAAGAACAAATGGATATAAACTGGACATTAGGAAGTTTAGACTTGAAATTAGACAAAGGGTTCTAACCATTAGAGGAGTGAAGTTCTGGAACAGCCTTCCAAGGGGAGTAATGGGGGCAAAAGACATATCTGGCTTCAAGACTAAGCTTGATAAGTTTATGGAGGGTATGATGGGAAAGCCTAATTTTGGCAATTAATTGATCTTTGATTATTAGCAGGAAAATATGCCCAATGGTCTGTGATGGGATGTTAGATGGGGTGGGATCTGAGTTACTACAGAGAATTCTTTCCTGGGTGCTGGCTGGTGAGTCTTGCCCACATGCTCAGGGTTTAACTGATCGCCATATTTGGGATCGGGAAGGAATTTTCCTCCAGGGCAGATTGGCAGAGGCCCTGGAGGTTTTTCGCCTTCCTCTGCAGCATGGGGCACGGGTCACTTGCTGGAGGATTCTCTGCACCTTGAGGTCTTTAAACCACGATTTGAGGACTTCAATAACTCAGGCATAGGTTAGAGGTTTGTTACAGGAGTGGGTGGGTGAGATTCTGTGGCCTGCGCTGTGCAGGAGGTCAGACTAGATGATCATAATGGTCCCTTCTGACCTTAAAGTCTATGAGTCTACGAGACTCAGGTGGAGTCTTCTCTAGGTCGCTGATTTCGCTCCCTCCCAGGGCAGTCGGTAATCACAAATGGCTAATACCACCTGAAGGCTGTTTGCTGCCTGCCTGAACTGAGCTGGGAGTTGTGACAAAGCGGTTCTGGCGGAACCTAACTGAGAGTGCCAACTCAGGACAAATTGCTCAAATAGGGCAGTTACAGCCCAAGGCTGGGGTTCTTTCCACCTCTAAGGCAAACCAAACCAGCCAGACTAAGAGGACTTCGGTCTCACCCCACTGGCTAACCGCAAGTCTCACAAGCAATCTCCTTAGACACTCCAGTTTCCCAGTATTACCACCAGTGCCACTCGTTATGGGGACAAATGGTT